AGAGAAGGGGTACGATGCACACACAGTACTATCCCTAAACTAGGAACTATGCAGAATCCAAATCAAATGTTAGTTTAATAATATACATTTTTTCTGTAATCTCCGACTAAGGATAACTTTCCACTAAGTGTAATTGAATGGTGATTGTCTTTCTGTAGCGGTTGACCTAACGTGGCTCAACACATCTCACACATTTCTCCATTCTGTCATTAAAGTGTGATCTGTTTCTCCACGCTGTGAATCCATCACTGTGTCTGACAGGTACGGAAGCCTTGAAGGTCAAATTAAAAATGCTTTTCCAAGTCTGATTTCTCGGCTGTGTTTCCCTGGATAATAGCTTCAGTAATGTGTAAATAAGGGTCCCCAGGTGTCTCAGTGTGCAGACTGACCTCTGAGTGTGTCCTGCAGAGCGGGGGGGAAACTCTTTGTGTCCTCGATGTGAAGATTCCTCCCGTTTGATTCTGAAGAAGCGACGCTCTGCAGGTGAACGTTCAGCAGCGTCAGGTCGTAGGATCCCACCTGAGGAGAGAGTCAGATAACCTTTATTCAACATGACAACGTTTTCATTGGTCAATATAATAATATTCAAACTAAAGGAACCAGCCTGTGTTCAACATGTAAGAAGTAGAAAGTACAGGTATTTGTGTTCAACATGTAAGAAGTAGAAAGTACAGGTATTTGTGTTCAACATGTAAGAAGTAGAAAGTACAGGTATTTGGGTTCAAAATGTAAGAAGTAGAAAGTACAGGTATTTGTGTTCAACATGTAAGAAGTAGAAAGTACAGGTATTTGTGTTCAACATGTGAGAAGTAGAAAGTACAGGTATTTGTGTTCAACATGTAAGAAGTAGAAAGTACAGGTATTTGTGTTCAACATGTAAGAAGTAGAAGTACAGGTATTTGTGTTCAAAATGTAAGAAGTAGAAAGTACAGGTATTTGTGTTCAAAATGTAAGAAGTAGAAAGTACAGGTATTTGTGTTCAACATGTAAGTCTTACATTTTGAACACAAATACCTGTACTTTTTACTTCTTACATTGTAAGAAGTAAAAAGTACAGGTATTTGTGTTCAAAATGTAAGAAGTAGAAAGTACAGGTATTTGGGTTCAAAATGTAAGAAGTAGAAAGTACAGGTATTTGTGTTCAAAATGTAAGAAGTAGAAAGTACAGGTATTTGTGTTCAAAATGTAAGAAGTAGAAAGTACAGGTATTTGGGTTCAAAATGTAAGAAGTAGAAAGTACAGGTATTTGGGTTCAAAATGTAAGAAGTAGAAAGTACAGGTATTTGTGTTCAAAATGTAAGAAGTCAAAGTAATAAGTCTTCAGAAAAATAAGTAGTGGAGTGAAGTACTGATACCAGAAACATGTACAGTAACGAAGTATTTGTACTCCACTACTTCCCACCTCTACCCTGAACACATTAGCCTCAGTTTAGAGGATTGCATCCCATAATAACTCACAGTGAAGTGGGCGAGGTAGGGTCGACAGTGGGGGGGATTCCCGTTGCCGTTGGTGACCGGAGACTCCAAGATGGCGGCGTCTCTCAGCTCGATTCCCGACGAAGAGTCCCACAGGAAGCCGGAGAAACTCACTCCCTGGGACAGGTGCATTGTGGGAAATGTAGTCAGATAATATATGAACTCCACAGAGAACTACACACTTCTTCTTTAGTCTCTTTTCTTAAACCAGATTTTCTACATATTGCACCCACTCTCTACCTCACGGCGATTACATTTAATTAAATTAACCTTTGTGTAATGTATATAGATACAGATACTATAATGTGTGAAATGTAGTCAGATAATATATGAACTCCACAGAGAACTACACACTTCTTCTTTAGTCTCTTTTTTTAACCAGATTTTCTACATATTGCACCCACTCTCTACCTCACGGCGATTACATTGAATTAAATTAATCTTTGTATACACCATCCTATGTTTATATATGTGTGTTTAATGCTAGTTGGTAGAGTATTCTTTAGATACTATAATGTACGAAATGTAGTAATATATCCTCCACAGAGAACTACACACTTCTTTAGTCTCTTTTCTTAAATCAGATTGTCTACATATTGAACTCACTCTCTACCTCACTGCAATTATTTAAATGAACCTTTGTGTAGTGTGTATACTCTCCTATGTTTATATATATATGTTTAATTGTTACTTAATCCATCCAAACACCTGAACTTCTTAAAGAACATCCATAAACATTCATCTGTTTGCATCTTACAAATTACCTAACCCTTTGTTCTATGTCCTAAAGATATGTTGCCCTGTTGGAGGAGTTTTTCATCGACATATCTAAACTGTAGCTGCTGTACAAATGACACTAAAGCCTTGAACCTTCATAGTGTACCTTTTAGATACTTTAATGGTATTTCCGTACCTTGCTGGATTGAGCGGTGGGTTTTTCAGACACCAAACTCTTCCAAAGCCCTCGAGGTCGTTTCCACTTCCTCACGCTGGGCAGCGTTCCCTGATTTAACTCCAAACAGAACTGAAAAACACAGAGAGACGTTTTATCAGAACCGCACAGACACAGATTCCTTTCATGTAGTTTCACTTCTTTATTCCTGCTGTGATGTGAACGGGGATTGAAGTTTCACTTCTGCCAGATCCTTCAGACAGAGAACAGGAGTTTGTTTGCTAAATGTCAACAGTAGATGAAGGAAGTAGATCACATAAAGACAAAATAACTGATAAACACAGTCAGTCACTTTATCCAGAGTAGCTTCTCAGAAATCAAGCTAACTATGCTAACGTTACTTTAGGTCAGGGGGGTCAAACTCAAATACACAGAGGGCCGGACTGGTTCAATGTTTATTGCAGAACTTATTGAAATGAACTTATTGCACATATTAAACCTGGAACTAACAAAGCTTAAATGATTGCCTATAAAAACAACATTAAACATTAAATAATCAGTTGCCTTCATTTCTTATGGCTCTATCTGCAGCTTTTCCAGAGTCATTTCTTATTACATTACATTACATGTTACTTGTTAGACGCTTTTATCCAAAGCGACTTACATACTCAATACTGTGGGCAATCCCCACAGGAGCACTTTGTGGTGAAGTGTCTCAGGGACACAACGACATGCTGACTGCAGTGGGGTTTGAACCTGTGACCCCCCTGATCCGAACACCAACGCACAACTCACTGCGCCACACGCCTCCTCTATTACATTTTTCCACAGGCCAACAACAGCTTCAAAAAAACACTTTCCCTCAAAGAACAAACCAAACATGCCCTGTTGTCTCAAGAAAAATGTGCAGAATGAAACATCCATGTAAACTCAGTGTGCTGCTCTGTGATGCTAGTTCAAGCCAGATACTTGGCATCTCATCTTGGGTGCAAGTTCATCAATGTTTGGGCTCAGGCTCTGAGCTGAGGAGACCCTCAGGATGGAGTGCAGGTGCAATATACCGGCGGGCCAGATCTAATAGTCATTAAATCCACCAAGGGCCTGATTTGGCCCCCGGGCCTTGAGTTTGACACATGTGCTTTAGACTCTAGAGAGAGCTGAAGACACTCAATCAGTTTAGGAAAAGTTAAAAGAGAATAGTCAGGTACTGTAATGAAGTCAGTCAAAGTATTAGCTAGATTAAATGACTACTGTAATTACTTGTTAAAACATTTTGTAAAAAGCTCTTTATCTAACAGAAATATATCAAGTGTTTTGTTAGCTTATGCTAGCGGTTCTTAAATGGAGTTTTTTTTGTGCCATCAATTATGTTTCCATAACTTGGATAAAGACAGGACTGGGTTTGAACATCAATTACTTATTAGATCTGAAGTAAACCAGAGATATTTCAAACTAAAAAACACTGAAATGAATCTGATGCTATTTAAAGCTACAATGCTACATGGAGAGTAAAACATATTATATAAGAAACAGGGAAATGGAGAATATCCATTGGGATATTTATAATGTATGTAAGATTATTTCTATACAAGGCACCAGATTATTGAGTACACAGTTATCTAACATGTTTACATTACAGGTCAGTAAAACAGTTATTAAGGCGGTGATTTCTCATGTTTACAAAGGAAAGATGAAGATAGATAAGGGTTAATAGCACACAAGCAACAAGAGAGATGATGAATTATTATAAAGCCAGTAAAAACAGACGGGATATTTCAGTATTTACATGGAAATGATGTCAAATGCTAAAGAAAATGACCTTTTTATGCATATTTGTATCAGATATTATATCAGATTTTTTTTTAAATCCACATTAAAAACACACTTCTTCTCTCTGGCTTTCTAATTAGAGCGGAGCATGACTCCTGACTTTTCCGTGTGTTTTATTCTTATTTTGTTTTTTAAGTTATATCTGTTGTAATTTATTGTCGTTTATTGTGTTTTATAGTAATGTGTTTTTTATTACATGTACAGCACTTTGGCTCGACCAAAAATCGCTTTTAAAATGTGCTATATAAATAAAACCTGATTTGATTTGATTTGATGTCCTGAACAGAGGTTATTTCTGCCTCTAATGAAAGTCTCTTGTTGTTCAGTCGAAGCTCTGAGGACACTGTGAGTCGATGCTAATGAGAATCAGAGCGTTACATATCACCCTCGCCCCCAGAGGAGCTGAGATACATAAAGACTGAGTGTTAAAACGATGTTAATCTGAGGGTTAAACACCAGCGCTCTGTTTCACACCAGCATCCAGAGGCTCTGCAGAGGAACTGGAAACAAGTTCAGTGACCTGTAAGACACTCAGAGGGAAGTGTAGAGACCACAGAGGACAGGAAGAGACACTGAAAGAAGACGGAGAATAGGGATCTGACTCCACCAGGGATCTGATCATGTGTTTATAACATGTTTTAAACACATATTTAGACTGTAATAAAGGGTTTGGGGTCCTTTAGGGTCCGTTTTTAGATTAGATGTCCTCAGAGGGAAGTTGATTTTCACAGCTCTGTTCATGAACATCGTGTACATACCATATATAAACAACAACAACAGATAGCGACACACATGGCAGCAATGGCTCTCAAGCTTATTGGTACGTTGTCTTACCTTTTGCACCATCATCTAACCTTTAATGTGTGTATTGCATCATGACATCACGACTCCACTACTGCAACAGCATCCTCTACGGCATCCCATCCAACCTCCTCAATGAACTCCAACATATCCAGAACTCTGCTGCCCGCCTCCTCACCCACACCCGCTCCCAAGACCACATCACTCCCGTCCTCCAGAACCTCCACTGGCTCCCCGTCCGTCAAAGAATCCACTTCAAAGTCCTCCTGATTACTCACAAAGCCCCCCTACCTCACAGACCTGCTGCACCACCACACCCCTTCCCCCTGCCTCACAGACCTGCTGCACCACCACACCCCTTCCCCCTACCTCACAGACCTGCTGCACCACCACACCCCTTCCCCCTACCTCACAGACCTGCTGCACCACCACACCCCTTCCCCCTACCTCACAGACCTGCTGCACCACCACACCCCCTCCCCCCTGTCTCACAGACCTGCTGCAACACCACACCCCTTCCCCTACCTCACAGACCTCGCTGCACACCACACCCCCTTCCCCCCCTTGCCTCACAGACCTGCTGCACCACCACACCCCTTCCCCCTACCTCACAGACCTGCTGCACCACCACACCCCTTCCCCCTACCTCACAGACCTGCTGCACCACCACACCCCTTCCCCCTGCCTCACAGACCTGCTGCACCACCACACCCCTTCCCCCTACCTCACAGACCTGCTGCACCACCACACCCCTTCCCCCTACCTCACAGACCTGCTGCACCACCACACCCCTTCCCCCTACCTCACAGACCCTGCTGCACCACCACACCCCTTCCCGCTGCCTCCGCTCATCAGAAGCCAACCTCCTATCCATCCTCACCCGCACCAAGCACCGGACCTGGGGGGACAGAGCCTTCTCCGTCGCTGCCCCCTCCCTCTGGACCTCACTCCCCCAACCCATCAGAGACTGCCCTGACCTCACCACCTTCAAAACACTCACAAAGACTCACCTCTTCAATCTGGCTTTTAATGTGTGATTGTTTTTGTATTATTTGACTTTAACTTTAACTATATATATTTATTTGTTGTTCTTTTCTTTTCACTATATCTGTAAAGCGTCTTTGAGCACCTCTAAAAGCGCTAACAAAATAAATCTATTATTATTATATTATTATTTATTGTATTCAATATGTTCTAAACCACATGTTTTGGGAACATTTAGTCGTTAGTGTTGGATTGGTTAGTGTTTTTGAGTTTGTTAGGATGTTATTAATATACATTATATTGTAAATACTGTGTGTTCAGTGTCTCTATTCCCAAGATTCAGATATCAGGATTTCCCCTTTTCACATTTCTTCATTATGACTGTACTTTTTAAACTGTTGGTGAATTAAATGAATTCAATCTGCACTGAGAAACACGTATTGGGGTGCAGACTATACACTGAAAGATGAATGTATTTAATACAGGTCTTTTCATATTGTGATTATATAACTTCAATATGTTATTTTGAAGGGCTTTTTCCTGATCCTAACTTAGTGTTTAAGGATTCAGGAGGTCATATGATGTTGTAGTTTGTAAAGCATATAGCCTACTGATGCACAGCAATAAAATCTGTGCACACAATTTCATTTAAAAACTCTAATTTGTGTAGTTTTAACTTCACCTGGTCTGCATCCACACATACATCTGGGTTTGGGTTACACTACAGATCTCTCCTGTTCAGTGGCGGCGCCAGAGTATTTGTGTTGTGTAATCTATGGTAGGGCTAACCCATACCGTGGTGGGGCTCAAGTCAGTATTTGCAATGTAATTACATACACGCTATATCGCCCCCCTTGACAGTGAAACGCCACGCGTGAGGTTTAGATTATTTCCCTGTCTCAATCAAAATGGAACTGTATGAAATAAAACGGCACATTTGTCTTGTAGTAAATAAAAAGGGATCACTGTGAACGTGACGTATGATAGGACACGTTGAAGATCCAATGGGGATACTGAATGGCGGTTCCGATTGATCTCAATCAGTAAGGCGTGACGCAGACCCAACGTTGCGTTGCTCTGATTGGCTGTAGGTCTATTCAAATTGCATTCGGAGGCATTTTGATCTGACCGCGGCCGCGCTGATATTATAACGCCAGAGAATTTCCACACCTTTAGTGTATAAAACTCCCCCACTACTTAGACTATTCCTTGCACCCCTCTTATAGCATAAGCCCGAATGGTCTCAACCATATTGCATCAGTAACGTGCACTTGTTGTTAGGATCAGTTTGTGTATTGTGGAAACGACCCGTATATTTTCGCAATCCGTGTTCTCAACATTTAGCATTTTGCTTATTATTTAATTTAATTTGCTTACTTTAAAGGTGGGGTAGGTACGTTTGAGAAACCGGCTCGAGATACACTTGTTATATTCCATGGAATGCTCTTAACATCCCGATAGCAATGAATATCTGAAGTGCTTTGACAAAAAATCCATAAAAAAATATCATCTGTGGA